GGCCGGGCAGGGTCGGGCTGGGTCGGTGCCGCCGGTGCCGCCGGTGCCGCGTCCCCTCGGAACCCCCGGCCATGGCGGAGCCCCCGCGGCCGCAGAGGAAGCTGTCCCGGGTTGGGGAGAGCCTGTACCGTGTGCTGGGGCTGCAGAAGGGCAGCTCCCCCGAGGAGATCAAGAAGGCCTATCGGTACGGGGGAGGGTCCGGGGGGTGTCCCGGGAGCGCAGGAACGCGGGTCCGTCCCACGGGATCCCGTGCGGATGGTGCTGGTGCCATCCCGGCGGTCGGGGCCGGTGCCGGGAGATGCGGCTGTTGTGAGGCTGTTAGCCCRTACCGAGGGTCCCGGTGCCATCCCGGGGGTCCGGGTCTGTCCCGAGCTGTGAACCCATCTGGGGTCCCCCCCTGCACCCCACAGGAAGCTGGCTCTCAAGTACCATCCCGACAAGAACCCCGATGACCCCGCGGCGGCCGAGCGCTTCAAGGAGATCAACAGCGCCCACGCCACCCTGAGCGACGCGGACAAGCGCCGCCTGTATGACCAGTACGGCTCCCTCGGCCTCTATGTGGCCGAGCAGTTCGGCGATGATGCTGTCCGGCACTACTTCCTCATGTCCAAGTGGTGGTTCCAGGTGAGCCCGGCCGTCCCTGGGGCTGCCGTGATGGGGTTCGGTGGTTGCCGTCTGTCTCGGCATTGTGGTGGTTGGAGTGGGCTGACAGGACGGGTGTGATGGGGTTTGGTGGTTGCCGGTGTGATGGGGTTCGGTGGTTGCCGTCTGTCTCGGCAGGCTGGTGGTTTGAGTGGGCTGACACTGGTGTGATGGGGTTCAGTGGTTGTAGTCTGTCTCGGCAGGCTGGTGGCTCGAGTGGGCTGACGTTCTGGTGTGATGGGGTTCGGTGGTTGCCGTCTGTCTCAGCAGGCTGGTGGCTCGAGTGGGCTGACGTTCTGGTGTGATGGGGTTCGGTGGTTGCCGTCTGTCTCGGCAGGCTGGTGGTTGGAGTGGGCTGACGTTCTGCTGTGATGGGCAGGAATTTGGCTGAGCTGACAGTGCCTCTGTCCCCGCTGCAGGCGCTGGTGCTGTGCTGTGGTGCCCTCACCTGCTGCTGCTGCTGCTGCTGCTGCTTTTTCTGCTGCGGGACGTGCTGCCCGCCCAAGGAGGACGAGTCCTACAAGTACGTGGACCCCAAGGACCTGGAGGCGCAGATGCGAGCAGAGGACAGCGGTGAGTCGGGCTGGGTCAGGCTGGAATCCAGCTGCAGGGAAATTGTGGGTTTGCCTTGTGGGGCTTCTGGGCTCTCCCTGTGTCCCGTCTCATGTGGGACAGAGCTCTCACTCAGGGCTTGGGGTGGTTTTAGCTGCAGCTCTTTCAGCCAGCTGATGGTGTTTCCTTGTGTGGGATGGGGCTGGTGACAGTGACAGAGGGGGACACGGGGTRCCCATGGGTACAGCTTCTCCTTTCCCCTCAATAAGGGCTCTCTGAACAGATCTGAAGCTTAGAGACCAGCACGTGGGAAGAGCAGCTGTGCTCCAGGCTGGCTCTGTTCCTTGGCACTGGCCATAGKGACATCCATGGGGCTGGGTGACTGCTGTGGGTTTCTGTGGGGTTGGGGCACTCTCACTGGACAGGGGTGTGGGACCTGTGGGCTGTGGGAGCTGTCACGGGGATGTTGAGAGATTCCTGGTCTCTGGCACCACCTGAGGGGCTGATCCACTGATCTGCATCTCTTTTTCCAGATTCCCACATCCCMGTGGTAGCACAGCCCCCGCCTGCCAGCGTGGAGTCGCTGCCGGCCAGCTCCAGGAGCGATGCCTGAGGCCAGGCCCGTCCACCAGGACTCCCCCAGGATTCTCCTTTGGGACTGTCACTTTCTGGGACCACGGTCCCACCCCCCGGACCGGCTCTTCAGCCCCGGGAGGGATAGAATCTCAGGTTAATTTGGCCAGCAYCAATGCACAGGCTCCTGGGCCCCCCTGGAGCTGCAGGGCGATGTCCCTGCGTCCCAGCACTGGTGGTGGCAGTGGCCCCGAGTCCGTGCTGCTGCCACCCCCCTTCAGTGCCTTGCCCGTGCCACATCAGGCACCGAGCACCAGGCACGAGCAGAGACGCTCCAGGCCGAGCTCTGCAGCTCCCACGGGATCCGAGACCATTAGCACTGTAACTCYGGGGCTGGGCTGAGCCCGCTGTCCCGCTCACCGACCCTCCCGATGGGCGCTGGGTGCCAAACGCTGCTGCGGGRTTGGGGTGCTTCTGTCTGTGCCCCTTTCCTCTGCCCTCCGGGATTGTCGTGGTTTTTGTGGGCACCATTAAAGGCTGATGGGAGGGGAGTGTGTGTYTGTCTGGGTTCTCTCCGAGGCTGCAGGAACAGCCTGCAGCAGGATGTGCCTCTGCCTGGYCCTGTTCATGCTGAGGGTGTTCCCTTGGATCCTGTGAGGTGTGGAATGAGTAGGGTATGGAGTGGGCAGTTCATGTCCCGAGTGGGGTGAATGTCACTTGTCTCCTGTCACCCACCCTGTCCCACTCTGTCCCCTGCTGCTGGCTGCCACCGGCTCTGCTCTTCCCCCTSCTTGCTGCTGCAGTCCTGGAGCCCTGCTCTGCGCTGCCCGGCCRGGTCCCTGCTCCTGCCCTGCTGTCTGAGAGCTGTGGCCCTGCAGAGCAGGAGCAGGGCAGGGACTGAGGGGGGACAGTGAGCTGCTTGTCCTTTCTGTCCCTCGCTGCTCTCCACTTCTGCTCACAACTGCATGGGCTCTGTCTCACTCCCTAAATATAGACAGGGTGCCAGGGTGGGTGGGGATGGGGGGGTCCTGGCACCAGCCCCTCCACGCTGCTCTTTAGGGGRGGTTTGGAACTGGGCTGGGGCYGTAGGATTTGGGGGACCCCAGCCTYYCYCAGCCSTGCTACCTGCAGAGGGGACATTTGCCCTCCACCATGACTCCCAGCCCTGTGGACCCCGCACCAGCCAGCTCCGGTCCTCTGGAGCTTCTCCTCCCCGGGCAGGGGCTCCGCGGCTCCCAAAGCCGGTCCCCCGGAATCGGCCGGTGCGAGGGGAGGGCAGGGACGGTGACTCAGTGTCACCCGACGCCGCCGACAGCTGCGGCCCCGGCGGGGCGGGGGCGGCTAAAATTAACTCCGGGGGCCGGGGCCGGGGCCGGGGCCGAAACAAAGCGGGCACCGGGCGGCCGGAGCGGAGC